TTTATTTTAGCAGGTTGTTTATTTTAGCAGGTTGTTTATTTTAGCAGGTTGTTTATTTTAGCAGGTTGTTTATTTTAGCAGGTTGTTTATTTTAGGTGGGGTAGTCACGTGGCTGTCCATAAATATTGTTGCAGCCTTCCAGACACTGCACCCCATTTTATAAGTTCAGAGAGTATGTGTAACAAAACTGTCGCTACAACATTGTACGCTTGTGGAGACTCGGAAGAGTCGGATATGACCTTCACTCCATGCGCAGACCCGGACCACGAGGTCAAGAAGCAATATCTGGCATCGAAGAGAAATGTGGAAAGCATGGGTGCAGAAACCCATGAGATCTACCGTATGTTGTGGTCCTTCCGCCGATCTTTCCACTGCTAACGAAGGCTTCGAAGTCCCCAAATCTTGTAACCTGGCCGAGGATTGACAGGCGAGAATTTTTGTAATGAATGATATCGGCACAGGAACACAAGGCTATATAAGTGGCGGTAGTATCAAATTTGTAGGCAGACTACAATACATGAGAGCGCCATGAATTTGAAGCTACGTCTAGTGTTTGCAAGATATCTTCCGCGTTTGCATACTTCCTGGTCCAGCATCCAAGGATGATGCTGCCCGCATAGACCCCGTTGACATCAGGATAAATTCGACGCCTGAATTGCCCCTCGGCCCATTCATCATAGCTCAGCATTTCCTCGTTTGACACGAACGGGCCAAGACGTCTATACGGCCAATGCCCCGTAACGATACTGTACAGTATAGACCCAAGGCTAAAGATATCCGTCGCGACAGATGCCACCCACTCAGCATTTGGATCGAAGAAACCGGGATCAGGTAATTGTTTTCCGTCTAATCTTAATTCCTTGCAGACAGATCCACCGAAGTCGCAAAGCCATAAATCCAACGAGGTCGGCGTTGTCGCATGAACGAGATAGTTATCTGGCCGTAGGTCAGAGTGCCATACACCCTGACTATGGATATAAGCTACCGCCTCCACAGCTTGTCGACACCATTGCTGCTTTGTACACATATCGATAGCCTCGTAATTCAGCTCGAGATACTGTTGGAGATTGCCATGACTGGCCCGGGAAAGGATCAAGCCGCGCAGACGCTGTGGCTCATCTTGCCAACCATGATATCTAGGTAAAGTCAGCTGATACTCTATTAGATTGGAAATGGGAGGATGGTACTTCACGATCCTAGGATGATTGCCCAATCTCTTCAAGATAAGCTGCTCAACAGTGAAACAGTTTTGGATTTTGTTTGTCAATTTTTCGTATGAAGAAGAACCCTCCCATACTTTAATTGGTTGCTTTACAACGGTATGTCGGTCTACCTCCAAGATAATCGATGTAGAGCCACTCCATTCTGGAGCCATCTGTGCACAGAATTCCGACGTAGAGACAGGGACATAGTTTAGTATGCCAGATGGCTACATTGTGGCTTGGGCTGTTTGTCCTGTTTGCACTGCTAAGCGGGACACGTGCGTAAGGTACGATGCTTACACATGGACCCCGCTAGCCACAAACAGTAGTTATCTTCATTTAAAGTACCGACCGCGGTGGCAATACTGCACAAGTCTCCGCGCTGCGTTAGTATTAAAGCTAATAACGTCCGTCCCTGCGTAACGAAAATCCCGCCATGCCGAAAAGGATTCTACAAATAGTCAGACTGGCTTGTCCAATTTAGTGGAATTAGTTTGATTTAAGTTTCAAGGTGTCAATTAAGTATGTCTGCTTCTACTGCCAGAAGACCGCACAGCCACAAATCCTACAGTAAAGATACGCAGATGTAACTTAGGACATACATATCATCGCACATTAGCTCGGACCGGCGGTTCGCTTCCGCCGGAACCCATCGACGGGGCGCTTGATTTATGCAGGACTGATCTGCTGATCGGCACTTCCTGCAGAAGTAGCAGCCGAACCTGGCTGGTTCGTGATGACTTGCAGATCCAGCCTTACGCTTGCCGTGTAACGTACCTATGATGACTGATCGGTCTGTGGCTGTGGCTACGCGACGCCGCTGCCAAGTACTCTGGAAAATCAGAGCTCCTGGATTGGGAGCAGGGCTGAGGTCAACGGCCGCTACCTGCTTAGCTTTTGACATAGCCCTTTATCAACTATATTAATCATCTACAGGTAACGGGGAGCAACAGTGCAGGTACGCAGAATACGTGAAGGTCTTGATGTGTTAATAACGTTAAACTGTTCAAGTTCGTGGCTCTGGCTATGTAAGGAAACTGATCGTTAGGTCGTAGAGTGAGAAAAGAAAGTAAGCATAAGACATCAAAAAGCGAACTCTATCAGCATTACTCTCCCAGACATGTACCCAAAACCAACAATGCCCTCATGAACGGCAATGCAGGATGACCGATGATCGGGAGGAAGCCAAAGGATACGCTTAGTATGTTGGTGCACCCACTGGTCCTTGACAAAAACAGAGGGGGAAAGAGGGAGACGATTCGTGGCTGTATCAGGTGGAAGAAGCTCTGTTGGTATAGGCAGAGACCCACGGTCTGTCTGGAGAAGCGTACCGTCCTCAGAGAAAGACAGGGTATAGACAAAAGCGTGGATATCAAACGTCTGCCGCAGCGCCCCCGTCTTGGCCTCCCACAGCTTGACCGTCTCGTCGGCCGATGCCGAGGCCAGCGTCGTGCCGTCCGGCGAGAAGGCCACCGCCCTGATGAAGCCC